ACCGTTAACAACCACTCTCTGACTACGGTTATCCAGCCAATTATGCACCCACCTTATCGTGGCCCTATCTAAGTTATATTTGCCTAGTTTATCAATAAGAATATCATGCGAGACCGTATCAAATGCCTTACTAAAGTCTAGGTATATGACATCCACCGCTTCTCCCTTATCCACAAGGCTCGTTATCTTATCAAAGAACATCTGTCAGGGATGGTGTAGATGGAGCTTGGTCCTGCCATGAGGGCGGGGGGCTGGACTCGATTACCTCTCGAGGTCCCTTCCAGTCCTATGATTCTAATGCTGGGGTGATGGGCGCCCCCTCAGAGATGCTCCGCACCCTCTTGCCTCCGCCCATCACGTGGAGTGGCCATCCCTCTGATGGGCCAGGAGGCTGAGGGTTAACGCTAGGGATGGTGTAGATGGAGCTTGGTCCTGCCATGAGGGCGGGGGGCTGGACTCGATTACCTCTCGAGGTCCCTTCCAGTCCTATGATTCTAATGCTGGGGTGATGGGCGCCCCCTCAGAGATGCTCCGCACCCTCTTGCCTCCGCCCATCACGTGGAGTGGCCATCCCTCTGATGGGCCAGGAGGCTGAGGGTTAACGCTCCAGGAAGTGAGTCTCAGGGGGAGGGGGGCAGCAGCCTGGCCCACGCAACCGCCCGCCCTCAGGGGGGGGGCGGAGAGGGGTCAACCACCCACCTGGGGTCCTGCAGCTCTCCCAGCAGCTCCTGCCGTCAGACCAGGGGGATAGCGGGAGCGGCAAGAAGTGGTGGCAGAACATGCCTGCCACGTCAGCCACAGCTGCAGCGCCTCCCTGTGAGTGGGGCCGCACGACATGGCACTGAGCCAGGCGGCAGAGTACACCTGCAGGAGTTGGTAGGGGGGGCCCCATTGGTGCAAGCGCAGGAGCAGCAAGTTGATAATCCCATGACAGACAGGCAAGAACAGTGGCCGCTTAATGGAAAGATTTTCTAATAAATGCTTATTTCGCAAAATAAAGCGGCCAGTAGCATGGCATCAGACCCACTATTACTATGGTTTAAGAAAAACATAAAATCCCTAGTCTATCAGTTATTCTCTTAAATTTTACTTATGTTCCAAAGAATTTTTAATCAGACTATAATCATAACAAAAGGAGTATTTGCACAGCATCTTATCGTCTGTCACGTACGCCCACAGAAAGCAATGGGATAACAGTGCTTTGGAGGGCAGAGTGAGAAGGGAAGAGATTAATCCAAATTACATAAACACACGTTTCTTTGCAACATTTAGACCCATTCACACAAATAAAGCAAATGGAAAATTTCTGTAATTCTGTGGTAGCACAGCTTTACATATTATGCTTCCTTCCCAATACTTGAAATTCATAAAATACTAGTTTCTTTTAAAGAGGAACAAATTTCAAAGAAACAAAACCTTTAGAGAATCTGAATTTTCACTGCGCCAATTAAGGTAGTTAAGCAGCAGCCACTGTTGCATTACCCAAAAGTAATCAACAAAATAAACATTTAAAACAAACGAAACAATCAACATTTTACTGCCAACTTACTTTTGACACTCTGCTGAAATTTTTAACTCTTTGGTTCTAGAAAGGAAGACTTTAATCAGTGCCCCAAGATTTCCTGTTCGAGGATTGTTCTCAACTAGATGAGGAATTGAAAAGATTATATTTCATTTGTAATTTAAACTATAATAATTAGTTTAAACACAGGACGAATAGAGTGGGAATAATTCAATAACACTCCATTGAAACATTTATATATTTTGTGATATTTAAACACACATGGCTATTCTTTTATAGGGCTTTTTTTTAAAACTGTCTATAAAGATTTGGGGGGGGGGAACACACATTTCAACTACTGTAGGATTGTTCACTACACCATATTTTCAAATCAGATTTAAGACATTCCAAACAATGGAAACACGCTGTTTCCTTCAGGAGACTATTCCACAGCTCAGTAGATCATACTGTCCGGAACCTGTGACTGATTTCACAGTAATGTTATTTCACTACTTCTACCTCCCCTGATTTGTCCCTGTATCATCTCACTCCATCAGCATTTTTACCCCTACAATTATTTTAGAAGTGTCTATACATAATGAACAGAGTTAACATCGAAAGTTAAAGCTTACAACATTCAAGGAAGCAAATTAAAATTCAGAATGAGAGGCAGGATATACTCTCATCTTCTAATTCAAGTGTCAATGGTGTCAAACTATAATCCATTTCTGCCCATGATACTGTATACCAGTGGTTCCCAACCTTTTTGGTACTAGGGACTGGCAAACCCATTCACAAACTTTAGGTGGACTGATAATGTTTTATTTGCATATTTTCACATTCATTAAGCAAATGATAAATATACAAATAAAATGTTACCAGTCTACCAAAGGCCCAGCCCCCAAAGCCCACAGTGCCAGCCCTAACCCTGAGAGCCCTCCACTCCCCCGAGTCCTCTGCACCCAACCCCCCCAGTGCCAGCCTCCCACCCTCAGAGCCTCTCATCCCAAATGCCTTAGTGCTAGGCCCCCGCTCTTTAGAACCCCTCACCCCCAGTACCAGCCTCCTGTCACCAGATCCCCCCAGTACCATCCTCCTGTTTCCAGAGCTCCACTGCACCCAACCCTCCCCAATGCCAGTCCCCAGCCCCCAATAGTAGCCCCACCCCCAGAGTCCCCTAGTGCCAGCCCTGTCCCCACAGTGCCCCCCACTACTAGCTTAGCCTCCAGAGCCCCCCTACCACTAGCCCCGCCCCTGGAGCCCACTGTGCTGCATCCCACGTCATGGCAGCTGTGGAACACCTACCCTCCCACCATGGCTATTGGGAGAAGTGTGTCCTGCCCCACCTCTCAGCCAATCAGTGCCAGGCAGAGGCAGGGTCTCCTCCGGTCACTTCCCTGTACAGTAGGAGACTCCACGCAGCCATCCCACTGCGTAGGGAAGAGCTCTTCCACAGCTGGAAGGAGACCTCGCCACTGCCCAGTGCTAGCTGGCTTCTGCAAACACGCGAGAGTGGTGTACCTCAGCCCCGGCCCCTAGAACGACCGCGGCCTGGTGGTTGGGAACCACTGCTATACCACTGATATTCTACAGACAAAAGGGCAATGCTTTAAAAGTAATTGAAAAGAAGTCTGTTTAATTACTAAAACAACTGTGCCCAAGTCACTTCCTTCTATTGGTCACACATAGACTAAGAAGACCATGTTACATTTAAGCAGCACAGATTAGTAAAATGTGTTTTCATCTTATACTTGCGGGACAAGTGATAAAATCTCACTGGTGAAATGCAGATGGGTGAAATCAAATCAGTTCAGACAGTTTTTGTGAACATTGATTTATCAGAAAAGTTGACAATACACAGAAATATCTGGAGACATCAAAAAAATCTCACCTAAAGATTTGCAGATTGAGATGGTGACCTCTTCCAACTGCTTTAATTCAGCACTGAAGAGAAAGAAAGAAAGCATTTAGTTATATGAGCAATAACAATCCCTGAGTCAATAGAGGCCTATGCTTGTAAAATAGAAAACCTGCATTCAAATAATGCACTATAGTGCAGTACTGTACTTCAATTCCTATGATGTCATTTTAATTACTCCATTTATCTGGCTCACACAGATTGCATGCATTATTTGAAGTAGTGTGGCCACGCAATGGACAATAAACATCTCTCTCACTTGGTTAAACAATTCATATTTAAAGTAGCAGATCATTTCTATATCAAAAGCTTCACTTGTCCCATGCCCGTTTTGGAATTCAATTCAATGAAAATAAACATAGGACAGTTTCAATTTGTAGAAAAAGTTTGCTTTTGTACTAGAAATATCACTGCATCATTAATTGATATAAAAGAAGGAATGTAACCCTCTTCTGAAACTAAAAGTGTCTCCTTAAGCAAACATTTAATTTCATACTTAATACTGTACCCCAGTTTCAATAATTATTTCATAGGGTTACAACAGATGCAATTGTAAGTCGTGTATATGCCAAGAGGATAGGATTTTTACAAATTCACTAATCCCCAGATGACACATCTGTATCAAAAAAATCTACTTACAAAGATTTTATAGCAATAAAGTGGGAGGAAGAAGGATAGGAATCAACCTTAAAATAATCCCAACTATATGCACCCTATAAAGTACACATATACCACTATAAGTATTAAATATATAGACCTTCAAAGCATTGTACAAATCAACTAATCCCTATATAACTCTTGTAAAGTGGTCAAGTATTTGCGTTTGAGAAAAGAAAAAACACAAACAGCAGTTAAGCATCTTGCCCAAGACCACCTCCATACTGTTTCTATATTAAATACTAGAAAATTTACCCAGCTTTGCTCGGATCTTTAACTCAATTTTCACTCTCCCCCCTCCCCCCCACCAATCAGTACTCTGGGGCTGGGGATGAGGGGTTCAGTATGCAGACTACTCTGGAAAAAGAGGACTACCTCACCCTCTTTCACCACGGCAACTTGAGGCCAGGTGATAAATGTGCTCCAGTGGGCACAGCCAGGGAAAGGATGCATGTCCCACAGCTGGGGCAAGACGAGGTTAGTCTGTCCCCTGTGCTTCCCAGCCAGAGTGAGGAATGCAGCAAATTCTGCGCTTTCCCTTTGCTCCCTGATGAAGGGGAATAGCCATCAACATCCCTTGTATGAATCAGGAGGAAGCCCCTCCTGTAACTCTAAGGGTGGGAGGATTGGGGCTCAGGCAGACTCAGAGGGAGGCAGGAACCCCCAGCTAAACCCTTTCACCTGCCGGGTGATTGTCTCTTTTTTGTTTGGTTTTATGAGAAGCAATACCATTCTGGGCACACTCTGTTTTCCTAGCACAACCAAACCCTTACCCTGTTTTAAGTTATAATGGGAAGCTGTACTCCGAATTTTGTGGTCCTAGCTTTTACCTTTTAGGAGTTCTTGAACAGACATACACATGCACAAACTCTCTCAAATACATAGCAGATTTAAGGATCTTATTTCTAGCCAACACTTACCAAGGAAAAACAAGGCTACTTGTCAATAGGTTGCAAATTTCCCATTTTCCAATTTAGTGTTATTAAACTGACAAACTCCATCAAAAAGAACAAATCTAAAATATTTCATTAAAGCTAATGTTAAAATTGTATGAACACACTTTCCTTAAGCTGAGTATTATACAACTGGGTTTAATGCTTAAATTATCCCCAAGTACAGTTTTAGGGTTAAAAGTAATAAAATACATATAGTATAGAAACTGCAATAACTCAAATTAAGGTTAATAGGTTTATTGATACAGTTTAGATACTAGACTCCAAATATTCAGGTACAACACTCATAAAAGGTTATAATGACAGCAGTTGTAAAAAAGATATACAGTAATGAGTATAGTCTTTCCCTTATTCATAGAGCATCTATAATAGGTTAACTCTCAGTAAATACAATCCATCAGAGAAGAATTTCACTATAACATATATAAAGCCAGTAAGATTTTGGGGTGGGAAAATGCCTTCCTCACTTCCCGGCCCAGCTTGTTTGTTTTAAGAAACCAGATACGAGTTTTCTGACAAGCTGATGATCTGTGGGTAACTGCCTACTATCCCATCAAAAGAGCTGGTCATATTTTACCAAGTGCAACTATTCTGTCAGTTTGTCACCTTTTGCATACAAAGTAAAATGTCAAGTTGTGATATTTACCAAGCACTAAGCAGAGAGACTTAAGAGGCAGAGCTGAATCTAACAAGTAAAAAAAGACAGGTAAGAGGCTAGATTTGTTCCTTGTTCTGTTAGCAGCTCACTCAGATATCCTTGGGCAAGACACTTATCTTCTCAAGGCCAAATTCATTGTTGGTGTGATTCTAGTGATTGGAAGTGGTCATTTATAAAATGGGTGAGTGTTGTGGTCAGTCTTCCAGAATGGAAATGACGGTGTCACAAAAATCCTAAATCAGCAATTCTAAAACTTTAGCAACCCAGGGACTCCCATTTTGATTTAAAAATCTTCAGGGACCGCCAAGCTCTCCTGCTTAGCCCTTTCCCCATTCCCTTCCCTGCCCCGTCCCACCCCTTCTCTGAGGCCCTGCTTCCCCCACTTATTCCATTCCCTCTCCCTTCTTCCTGTGTCTCTCCCCCATTCTCACTCATTTTTACCAAGCTAAGGAAATGCAGCGGGATGCAGATCCTTGGAGGAAGTTTGGATGCAGGAGGTGGTGTGGAGTACTGGCTCTTGGCTAGGGCCAGGGATTGGGATGCAGGAGGGAGTGAGGATGTGGAGGTTTAACCAGTAAGCCTCACCCTTACCAGGGGACTACAGCCCTTGGCTATAGAGGGAGATGGGAAAGGGAGGGACCAACCACCCACTCATCCACCTTTAATTGGTTAACCGGTTAAACAATGTTTAATTGATTAGCCAATTAAATAGGATTTTACATCCCTAGGACAGAGACCCCTTTGCCCTCCCAAATGCCAGAGTTATTGCCAGCCAGTTTTAAGAGTGACATGGACCCAAGATTCCCACTCATTCCCCTCTCTCCCAGCACCTCTTGCACACCAGGGATTCCCTGGTATGAAGGAGGTACTGGGAGGGAGGGGGAAGTATTGAGGGAGAAAGAGGAAGGAATTTCTCAGTGGGGCCCACAAACCCCTTGGAGTACCCTCAGGGAGCTCCTAGTGTCTGCAGACCCCAGTTTGAGAAATGCTCTCCTAAATGGGTCAGGGAGAGGCCATCACATCAGCCCAAGGCTAAGAAAAATCTAGAAGCTTTTGTTTGCTTTATCAAGGTGGAGTTTAATAGAAAACTGTTTTTTCATTCTTTCCTTTTTTCCCCCTGTTCTAACTTTTTTCTATCTTCCCTTTCCACAGCCTCAAAGGCTTCCACACACTAATTTCTTTTCTACCACACTGCTGTGTCTCAGCTCCATCATCCATTCTCACTAGTTCTCTCGCAACCACAAGTTCTCTCAATTTTGTTCATCTTTTCCCTGGTGCATTCCCATACATCTTTACCCTTCTGGGGCAGAAGGTAAGCATCACACTTCCTTTACATATCCTCTGAAATACAAGCTGCCATAGAGAGATGAAAGGTGAGCAGGTGAGTACATTCCAATATGCAGGTTTGTTAATATACCTGGGTAAAGTGAAGATATATTCCTTAATTTTTACAATACACTTTGAGATCCCTGGACAGAAAGTGTTTTGGAAGTGGAAAGTATTCAGTTCTCTTTACAATGGGAAATTATGATTAGTTATTCAGCTCTCTTTAAAACAGGAAATTAGGGAAAAAACAGACATTAGTGGTTTCATAAATCAGCACACATACTAATCTAGTTGTCAGTTCCTTTTGTAGTCAGAAGTGCCCAAGAGCTCAAGTGCACTTCCTCTCTGGCAAAAAGTGACTCAAGAGCTCAAATCTACTCTACTTATAAGATGTTTGCCCAAATGTTTTTGTACATTCCCAGTTAGCATGCTCATATAATAATTACATATCATCCCACATGTTCAAGAGAATTCCTCTCTGTAAAACCAAGAGAGATGCATCCAGAAGGCCAAACCTCTCTAGTGGATTATAATATAAAACAGATTAGTTCCAGGGAGGTCTGGCTATCTCACTCATCCTCAAAGTAGACAAAAGAACTACAGAAAATGGGATTTAATGGATTAGCCAAACTAATCACTATTTTCCAAAGAGACCTACAAATTGATACTCCATATGAACTGATATAGTGCATCAGATCCACGGTCCATCTCCATTTAGTTCAGTATTCTGTCTCTAAAAGTGACCAGAAGCAGACATTAACTAGGAAAAAATCTTAGAATCATAGAACACTAGAACTGGAAGGGACCTCCAGAGGTCATTAAGTCCAGACCCCAAGCACCATCTAGACCATCCCTGATAGACATCTATCTAACCTGCTCTTAAATATCCCCAGATATGGAGTTTCTACAACCTCCCTAGACAATTTATTCCAGTATTTAACCACCCTGGCAGTTAGGAAGTTTTTCTTAAAGTCCAACCTAAATCTCCCTTGCTACAGTTTAAGCCCATTGCTTCTTGTCCTATCCTCAGAGGCCAAGGAGAACAATTTTTCTCCCTCCTCCTTGTAACACTCTTTTAGGTACCTGAAAACTGCTATCATGTCCCCTCTCAGCCTGCTCTTTCCTAAACTAAACAAGCCCAGTTCTTTCAGTCTTGCCTCATAGCTCAAATGCAGTAACACTTAACAGTGGAAAGACATAAAATAGATGTTCATGGGAATAAACTAATCTTCATCCCTAGGGGTTAGATTTTGTCTTAAATCCTCAAATATGAGGTAATTTATACCTTCCGACACTTGTATTTCCCCCATCTACAATTACAACAATTCTAGATATACAGGCAGTCCCCGGGTTACGTACAAGATAGTGACTGTAGGTTTGTTCTTAAGTTGAATCTGTATGTAAGTCGGAACTGGCGTCCAGATTCAGACAC